AAATCTTTGTAAGTAGGGAGGACTGGAGGGGTTGAAGGGAGGGCTGGGCAAGGGTGAAAAATAAGAACCAAGTGATTATGTAAAGGTGCAAATTCCCAATGATGAATGTCATTATATTGTATACCTAAAATATACAAATTATTAGAATGAAAAATCGATAATGTTAAATAGGAAGAAAAGGTCCAAAGGGGTAGGGTTAGTGGGAGGGGCAGGGGAAAGGAAAAATGATGAGAAATGTTAAAATGGAAATAAAGTCTTTGTAAATAGGGAAGAATGGAGGGGGTGAAGTGAGGGCTAGGAATGGGGAAAAAATAAGAACCAAGATGCATCATGTAAAGGTACAAGTTCTCAATGAAAAATGTAATTGTGTTGTATACCTAAAATGTAGCAATAAAAGAATTTAAAAAAAAATAGAAACATTGAATGAAGCCAGCCATAGTGGCGCATTCCTGTAATCCCAGCACTCGGGAGGCTGAGGCAGGAGGATTGCTGGGAGTTCAAGGCCAGCCTGGACTACATAGTGATCTCAGAACCAGCCTGGACTTGGGCCAGGGATTTAGCTCAGTGGTTCTGGCGCTTGCCGCACGAGCACAAGGTGCTCAGCTCGTTCCCTGGTACCAAAAAAAAAAAAAGAAAGAACCAGCCTGAGCTTCATTGTGAGACCTGTCTCAAAAAAACTAAAACCTAAAAAGAAGAAACATTGAATGAAGGATGCAGTTGAGTCATCAGCAGTCTTGACTATGGGTTACACATTCAGTAAAATCCTCGATGTATGTCAAAAAAAGATTTGAAAGGAATCTATCAAACTATTATAATGTTCTTACATCCATGGTATAATTATGAGTCTTTTATAGTTTCATCATTCTCCCACTAGCCTGTAAATTTTGTGGTGACAAGACCTGGGCTTCTTGAGTGACGGTGTATTTCCAGGCCCTTGGCAGTGTCTGACACGCTATCTGTTGAGTTGAAGGCATCCATTGGTTTCTATCTGGTCACCTATTTGGTGATGGGCACTGTACTACATCTTATTACTCACACAACTTTAGCAAGAGATGAATTCTATCTGCAAGAAACTTAACAGTTTGAGCAGGGCTTTGAATAGACCTTTCTGTAATGATGGAAACATTCTATGTCTGCACTATCCAGTCAATTACCACTGGCCATATGTGATCATTTAGCACTGAAAATGTGACTAGTGCAACTGATGAACTAAATTTCTTATTTTAGTTAATCTTAATTAAACTAAATGTAAACTTAATTAGCCCCACATGGCAGGTGATTATTATGGTATATTAGGGTGCATGCCAGACAGTTGACCAGATCATATATGGGCAGCAGTGAGTTTTTAAAAATAGTTTTCTCTTTGGTTTTATCATTAAAGCAAATAGACATCCTTTTCTGTCTGGTAGTATTTCTTGTAGTATTATTGGATAGTGATTAAACCTGTGAGTGTTCAGATTAGATCTGAACTGAGATCTGAGTCCCAGTTGCTCACTGCTTTCTGGTGAAATTACTCATTTTGCCAAGGAGAAATAATAATGACAGCTGCCTCGTACCTTGTTATAGACAGCCTGTTTGGCACAGATGAAGCACCATTTATTCTTAGCACCATTAAAAATTCTCAAAAAATTCTCTTTTGATGCTGTAGAATTTTTGTTTTGGTACAGTTAAGAAATCCAAGGAAAATGAAAGTATTCCTTCCCAAAAGGTCTCACTATGAAGTCCAAAAGTATTGTTTAGATAAAAAGATAAATTTTTTTTCTGCTTTTCAAATCTCATAATCATGTGGCAGTTAAACCCGTTTTACACTTCTAGTTTTCCTTTCTGTATATGAAAGTTTGCTATAGTTCTGAAAATACGTAACTGTCATTAAACAGAAGCTAAAAGACAAACTGAACAAGCCAATTAAAAGCCTTTTCCAACTTAAAATTTATCAAGTATTAAAGCATTTTCTCCAAATTATAATGTAAAGCAATTATTATGAATAAATATACAACACAGCTATTTGTATAATCTGGAAATTCATGTGCTGCATATATAGTCAAATATCAAAATATTTTTTAACCATTTTCATTCTACTCTCTTCTCAAAACTACTTTGATTTGTACATTCTAAATGAGTTTATTGGTTTTGAAAAACAGTTTGGCAAAGTGTATTTGTAAGGATATGTCTTAAATATGTAAAAGCTTCATGCACAGATATTCACTGCAGTATTAGACCAAAGAACTCACAATGGTAAAATCTCATGAAAAGGAAAAGTTATGTGTGTGTTTGGGGGGGTATCCAGTTGATAATGATCACATAGTAACATGACACATAAAATAAACTATTATAGTATTAGGTGGAAGCAGCCCTTTACACAACCGTATACAGTAGTTTGTTTTTTGGGGGTTTTTTGGTACCAGGGATCGAACTCAGGACCTTGCGCTTGCAAGGCACTGAGCTAAATCCTAGGCCCTACACTAGATTTTAAAACAATATATGGAGACAGATTTTGAAGAACTACCATAAAGTTAATAGTAGTTGTAATTGATTAACAAATAGGCTATGGGTGGGCCGGGGATTTAGGGATTTAGCTCAGTGGTTCTGCCGCCTGCTTTGCAAGCACAAGGACCCGAGTTTGATCCCCGGTACCAAAAAAAAAAAAAAGCCAGGGATTTAGCTCAGTGGTTCTGGCGCCTGTCTCGAAAGCACAAGGTACCGAGTTCGATCCCTGGTACCAAATAGGCTATGGGTGAGCTTTGTATTTTCGACTGTTTTTCCTTAGAGAAGTTAAATTACTTAAAGTCACACAACTAGTACCTGAACTACTGTAATTAGAACTCACATCTGACCAACCTGACTTGAATTCACATAGTTTTTAACCACCATTGTATTCAAGTAATAAAAAAGTATTTATTAGAAAATCCTTGAAACATTACACTTCTGAAAAATACTCTGACTAGTACACTAAGTAAAATTACTAAGATAAACGGCCTCAGAAAATAAACCTTGACAAAAAACGTTAAAATGGTATGAGGTATATGTGTGTACTTAAAGCCACAGGAGCAAAAGTTGTCGATGCTGACTACTTCTAAAGCAAATCAGTGTTGAACAGTTAAAACTTTTTCCTACACCTTCCGGAATACACTGCATAGTGACAATCTTGTAGCTGATTCACCTACACATTTTCAGTTAGACTTTTTCAGTTTAGCTCTGATTTGGAGTTTGTCTCTTGCAAGTTGTGGCTTAACTTCCATAATTCCTAGCAAAATGCCTTTTCTTTTTCATATTGAATCACTGTGCTTAAGAATGTGTCTTAGGCTTGGGACACGAGGGATGGGTGGGATAAGCTATCTATATCAAAAGTCAGAGAAGCACTTCTCTTGCAGTACTTCTGAAAACACTGTACAAAATAATACTTTATAACACAAACAATACTTGTGGGTGTTGGTGTTTTCCAAACCTCTTTTTTATTGGTTGCTAACCAAACCTCCTAAAGGTCTCAACTTGCAGTTTGAAAACCACTGTCTCACAGGTCTGTCCACTTAAGTCTGTGGATGCAGTGACTAGTAATTATTATATTCATTTGCTTAAAGGTCTTATGTGGACAAACGCTTTTGTAGAAATGCTCTGACCTAAAATCTCTGGATGATAAAACCAAAACTTCAAGGAAATTTTCTTTATATTTTTCTTCTTCTATTAAACTAAGGCTTTGAAATGACAGGAACTATTCATTTATCATTGTGTCTCCAATGCCTAACACAATGCTTCTCTCATGGTAGATGCTTGATAACATTTAATGAATGAATGCATGGTTCTGTTAAGACTAATATAGTACCATTTTTCAAAATTTTCTTTTTTGGAATTATAGATACTTCTTATTTATAATAGAGTTACAAATCATTGCATGAAAGGTAAAAATTATGTGACTTTTACACAATATTCTCACTGATTTATAATTTGGGGATGATGTGTTTTATTTTGTTTAATTATTAATTGGCAAAGTCTACCAAAATACCATTTATATATTTGTCTTTTTTAAAGCAATTATTGACTTATAACTTTATATTATCATTCAGTTAATGAACCTTTTAAAGGAAGAAAAAGTCTACTGTGAGAGCTTTATATTTAATAAAGTCATAAAGTAATTTATGCCTTTATAATGTTTAGTTTAAACTCCTATATTGGTTGTGCCTAGAGAATCTTATGTAAGTCTACAATAGGTTCAGTAATCCAGTTCTTCTTAGACTTTTCAGAAACAGTAATAAATTTACTCTCAGCAGACAAATCCATAGTAAGAGAATCCTCAAGTCAAAAGTTCCTGAGATTCTCTCTTCCATGTTATGAAAAGATTTTTAAGTTGCATCTCTCAGTTGAATACTTTTTAAATCTCTTCTTAAAATAATACTTTATGAAATATGCCATTTTCAACCTTTTCATTCTTTATCTCTTTAGATATCCATTTCTGCAATTTCTCTTTGTTTCAGGGGAGAATGGCCTACAGATGTAAAGGTACATCAGCTTGGCTGTAGAAATAGTGATTTAAGACGTACTGATCATTTTCTTTCTTTTTTTTTTTAGTACTGGGGATCGAACTCAGGACCTTGCACTTGGGAGGCAGGCAGCAGAACCACTGAGCTACATCCCCGGCCCTGCTTTTAAATTTTGAGACAGAGCCTCACTAAGTTGTCTGATTTGGTCTTGAACTTGCTACCCTCTAGCCTCGGCCTCCCAGAGAGCTGGGAATACAGGCATGTTCTATCATGCCTGGCTCTGTTTTGAAAGTGGAATAAATGTTATCAGCCTGTAGATTCTTTTTAAATTATCCCCCAATATAATGAACTCCATGAAAGCCCCAGATTGTTTCACTGATAAGGATTTTCTTACAATGAAGAGTCTAGAAATCACATTCCTGGCCAGCATGAATAAAGAAGAAATAATACTAAAACAATGAATTATTTTTTTCTGATCTAATGAAAGACCCTATAAATCATCCTAAAAATATTATTCCCATATTCCTTCTCCACTGTCTAAAGGGGTGTATTTGGAGGACAGGGGATAGTGCTTTGTTTACCTTTTGGGTACATTTTGATGAAAACTGAAGGAAATGACACAGGATGAGTTAAGGAAAATTAAATTTTAATTTCTTCTAGTTATGAACTAAAAATCAGTCTTCTTTATCTTCTGTATAAGTTCTCATAATTATATTTCTTAGGGTAGAAATACTGCTTTTCAGCACTTTTTATGTTCTACCTGCTCTGCTAAGCACGATAAATTTATCAACTCATTTATCCCTTCCAACAATGTTCTAAGAAAAGCCTAGAAAAAGTAACTAATTGCCTAAGATCACAGATAAGGGTCAAGACTATTAAATTCCAAACCTTTCTAGTTCCAAACCATATTCTTAACTGCAATATTCTATTGCCTCTCAGAAAACAATATTACTTAAGCTGTGTTAGGAAACAGACGTAGTAACACTTCATAATTTAATCAGTACTTATAAGTAAACTTTCTGAATAATTAGAATTTAAGTATTCAAACATTCCTTCATCATGGGAAGCATCTTCTTTTTCAGCTAATTTATTATGATCGTAGTAATTCCTTCATTGAGTTACCACTGACGAATGTAGGTTTTTTCTGTTACACAAAGGGGCTCCAATTTCCCTACCTTTTGCATCTCTTTTTAATACTTTTTTAATCCTTTCTTTCTTTACAAAGACATTTTCTCATATTGCCCTAAGCAGAAGTTCAGATTTGCCGGGGGTTTAGCTCAGTGGTTCCAGTGCCTGCCTCACAAGTGCAACGTCCTGAGTTCGATCCCTGGTACCAAAAAAAGTTCACATTTGCCTTTTGATTGGCTGCACTAAATTATGATTGTTCAGAAAACCAAAAATGTTATTGACAGCATGGACAGGGTAGATTCATCAGGGTCTGATGGAATACTGAAGGACTCATTATGAGTATATAGTTTTGTAAAAACTTTCTCAAATAGCTGTGATTGCTGGGTAAATGACCTCCAGGTTAAGTATGACATTGCAATTTTTAAATTCTAACAAGCAAATGTTAACCTTATTCCCATAACTATTTCAGCATTTTAAATTCATTTTTATTTAGCCTATACAATAATGATAAAATACTTCATAAATTCAGTTTAAAACAATTATGTATTTGAGAACTAAATATTTTATTTCCTCATTAGTTATCTCAGTTGAGCTATTTTCTCTTAATATTTAAATAATTAAAAAGAAAAAAGGCCTAATATATTTTGGTATCATGTTTTTGTCTTAACTAGGAACCTATTTGGTTCCTAATTCTGTAATTTTTTTCTTTCACTATTAGATTTTAACTAAAGAATTTTATAGTCTCCAAGCCTCTTCTGAAAAACGCATTACTGAACTTCAAGCACAGAACTCTGAGCATCAGGCAAGACTGGACATTTATGAGAAACTGGAAAAAGAACTTGATGAAATAGTAATGCAGACTGCAGAAAGTAAGTCTCCTCTTTCTCTTTAGTCCACATAGTGTTTTTCTGGTAGCAATAGAAACCTGGCATCCTTTCCAAAATTACTTTGACACATATTTTCTAAAAATATAATCGGAGGCTGAGGACTTAGCTCAGTGGCATCGCCCCTGCCTCATAAGTGCAAGGTTCTGAGTTCAATCCCTGGTACCAAAAAAATAATATATATATATATAAAATTGGGACAAAACAAAAAAATAAAGAATAAAAAAACAAAAAATGTAATTGGTGACTTTTTTAAAGAATATTCTATATTTTAAATATTAGTTATATTCATTTTGAACAGTTGTAATCAAGAAAGAAATAGGTTAATATGATAGATTTTATTTAATTCACTCATTCAATGAGTGTTAAACATTTCTATCTCTCAGGAAGTGGGGCTATGGAATTCCCACAAAGAATTCTTGCCTTGTAAGAGTTCTTAGTCTAGTCTAGAGAGACAAACATATTAACAACTCATTAAAGTAGCAGATGCTCTAAGCACAGGATAATGCTGCTCTTGGTGGAAACAGAGAAGAGATCATGGTTAATTTCACCCTGGAGGCAGGCAGTATCTAAGAAGGGAGGTGATACTTGAATGAATCTTGAAACACATAGAAATTCACTGGTTACACTGTGTTTTATAATCTTTGACCTTTACTTTTTATTTCTTTTTCTCCTTTTTCCTCCTCTTCCTATCTTTTCCCTAATTTTAAGGGCTATTTTTAAATTGACATTTTACTGGTAAGTATGATATTTGCTCCAGTACATTATCTATGTTCAAAACTCAAGAAATCACTGGGATTCTTTTTTTTTTCTTTTTGTTACCAGTGATCAAACTCGGAACCTCATACTTCCGAGGCAGGTGGTGGCACCACTGAGCTAAATCCCCGGCCCCCACTGGCATTCTTATAAAAGTGAGCTTAAACTCCAATTTAAGTTGAATCTGAATCTAGATAAGGTTCTAATTAGAGACACATTTTCATGTAAGGATTATATTATGTTTAAGGAAAAATTTTATTTTATTCTTATTTTCTTAATTTCTATTTCCACCATCAGTATCTGACAACTCCAGTAAATTCCAAACTTATCTTCAGTTTTGTCACCAGAATCAAAATAATCCTTATAAAATACAGATTTGAGGGCTGAAGATTTAGCTCAGTGGCACCGTGCCTGCCTTGCAGCCACAAGGACTTGAGTTCGATCTCTGGTACCAGAAAAAATAATAATAAATTTTAAAATAATAATAAAGTACATATTTGATCATCAAAAACAGTACCTGCTTCTCTGAGGTCTTTATTTATTTATTTTTTTCTCTGAGGTCTTTATTAAAACAGCACAAAGTTACGCCGCCTGCCTTGCAAGCGCAAGAACCCAAGTTCGATCCAGGGTACCAAAAAAGTTTTTAAATAAATAAATAAAACAGCACAAAGTCAAATTCCTTAGTTTGACTTTTATGATTAGACTCTTACCTTTTTAGTTTTCATGTTTACCATTGCCTTTCATGTCATATCATTTTTTAAAAATTCCATGCTGTATCTTAACTCCATAACTTAACATGTCTCTTTGTCTAAACAAATTAGTAATAGAAGGAAACTTCTTCAGTCTAATGACAGCAGCTATAAATAAACGTACGACTAATATTTTATTAAATGGTTTTCCCATTAAAAGAGAGAATTAGAATCAACCATTAACAAATGCTCTCGTAAGGCTGTAGGGGAAAAGGAACCCCTCTCCACTGTTGGTGGGAGTGTAAATTGGTGCAACCAGTATGGAAATTAGGATGTAGATTCCTCAAAAAACTGAAACTGGAGTTGCCATTTGGCCTAGCTAGTCCCTTTCTTGTTATTTTCCCAAAACAATTAAAAGGATCATACCATGGTGATATATGCACTCTCATAGTTATAGCAGCACAATTTCTAGTAGCTAAATCTTGGAAACAGCCCAGATTCTCATCATCAGATGAATGGATAAAGAAAATGTGTTTTTTATGTACAATGGAGTACTACTCTGCCATAAAGAAGGATAAACTTGAGACATTTTTTGGTAAATGAATGCACCTTGAGACCATAGTTTTAAGTGAAATAAATCAAACACACATGTTTAAATATCACATTGTTTCTCTTTGTGTGAGAAACTGAAAGCACAAATAAGGACCATTAGGATAGATATTGGGAAGTAGGAAGAAAATGGCCAAATGAGAAAGAAAACAAGGGAAGGAAGAGAAAAGAAAAAAAGTGAATAGAAGAAAAGATGGAAACAATGCTTTTGTAAATAAGAAGAAGAAGGGTTGAAGGGAGGGGAGGGAAGTAGGGGGAAGAAAAGAATCGAGATACATCATGTATAAGTACAAATCCCCTATGATGAAAATGATCTCTATGTATAACAAAAGTGTACCCATAAAATTAGTTAAAAAAACAAAGGAGAGAATGAAGCAAGGATTTCTGTTTTCATGACATATTCAACACTGTATTTGATTCTCTAGTCAATGAAATAAAGCATGAAAAAAGGAATAAAAGATATAAAGATGGAGATGTAGCTCAGTGGTAGAGCACTTGCCTATGATGCCTAAAGCACTTGCCTTTGGATTTGATCCCCAACACCACCCTAAAAAAAAGAAAGAAAGGGAAAAAAATATTTTAGAATACCAAAGAACCACTAAAGCTGTAAGTTAGCAAAATATAAGGTCCTTGCACAAAACTATGCCAGAAGCAATTAGAAACAGAAATATAAAAAGCAAGCCCGGCCTGGTCATACACACCTATAATTCCAGGACTCCAAGAGGCTGAGGCATGAGGACCACAAGTTCAGGTCCAACCTGGCCAATTTAGAGAGACCCTGTGTCAGAAATAAAAAGTGAAAAAGAGCTAGGGATATGACTCAGTATAAAGCTCATGGGTTCAATTCCCACTACCACCAAAAGAGAAAACTCACAAAACACTTAGGAATAAATTTACCTCTGCACCCTCTCCACCAAAAAAAATTTTAAAAACCACAAAATATTACTAAGAGTAAAGAAACCTCCTATGTAGTGAATCCTACAACTATCTCTCGTCCTAATCACAATGCCAGCAGGTTCTTTTGTATTTTATTTATATAGAAAGATAAAAGACATAGAATAGCCAAAGCAAACTTGAAAAAAGGACAAGGATGGAAAACTTACACTGCCTGGCTTTTTAATGCACTACAGTCTTAACTAAGGTAGCTTGTATCACGGATGCCAAGAAAGAATGAAACAGATTTAGAGAACTCAGAAACACATCCATTCATAATAGATTATTTGATTTTTAATAAAGGCAACAAAGTAATCAACTGGAGAAAGGAAAGGTTGTTCAATAAATGGTACTAAGAAATTGGACATGTTTATGGAAATGAACCTCAGTATACCAATAATAATTTGAAATGAGACCTAAATAGAACAGCTCAAACTATAAACCTTCAGCAGAAAATGTAGGCATCTCTGCAACTAGTTATAGGTTAAGATTTTTGAACTCAGGACCTTGCATTTGCAAGGCAGGCAGCAGCACCACTGAGCTAAATCCCCGGCCCTAGGTTAAGATTTTTAAAACAGAGCCCGGGAAGATTGCCATAAAAGAAAAAGTGATACAGTGGTCACAATCAAAACTTAAAACTTCTACTCTTCAAAATACATGATTAAGAAGACACAGACTGTTTTATATCTGACAAAGAAATTGTATCCAATATGGGAAAACACTAGGAGAAAATACTTTTAAAAAATAGACTAAGAGGCTGGGGATTTAGCTCAGTTGTTCTGCCACCTGCCTCACAAGTGAAAGGTCCTGAGTTCGATCCCCGGTACCAAGAGGAAAAAAAAAAATAGACTAAGAACTGGTATCTAGTTGTGGTAGACTGAAAATTGCTCTCCCAAGGATGTCCATGTCCTACTCTTTGGAACCTGTAAATATTTCACCTGAGATAGCAAAAGAGACTTTGCAGGTGTGGTTAAGTTAAATATCTTGGGGTTATCTGGGTGTAATCACAAGGGTCTCTGTAAAACAAAAGGTGATGACTGGATGTGGTGCCATAGGCCTGTAATCCCAAGCACTTAGGAGGCTGAGGCAGGAGGATTGCCACAAGTTCAAGGCTAGCCTGGACTACATAGTGGGACCCTGTCTCCAAAAAACAACTCTACATAGGCATATAGATATAGATACAAATATATATCTCAGGCTGGAGGTATATCTCAGTAGTAGAACACCCTTGGGTAAGATCCCCAGTACCACAAAAGAAAAGGTGCTGGGGTGATGAGAGAATTCAGAGGTGCTACACTCCAAGTGTGAAGATGGAAGAACAAACTGGGCTGACATATGGACAGTGGCTGGAAAGCTGGAAAAGACAAGGAAATGGATTCTCCCCTCGGGCTCCCAGATAGCACCAAGCCTGCCAACACTGTAACTTCAGCTCAGGGAGACTGGGCTTCTAACTGTGAGATGATAAACTCATATTATTTCACACTACAAAGTCTGGTAATAATATCGCAGTAATAGAAAATTAATACACCAGCATGTATAATGAACTTAACAACTCAATAATAAAAAGAAAATAGCCCAATTTAAAACATGGGCAGCTTGAACACTTTACAAAGGAAGATGCGTGATAGGCCCATCAACTCAGCAAAATACAAAGCACCATTACTTAGGAGGGGAATTCAGATTTAAAACCCAGTGAGATAGTACCATTATATATCCATGATATATAGAATAGCTAAAATGAGAATGACAAGCTATTATATACAGTGTTAGTGAAAATGAGGATCAGTTGACAGATTTTATAAAAATAACCAAAGACCTATCCAGTTATATAGCAGTCCCACTCTAATTATTAACCAGTGAAAAGAAAGCATATGTACATAAAAACATTCCTACTGGAATACTCATAGGAGCTTTATTCATAATAGTCAGAAGCTTGCAACCCATAGCCAGGCATGGTGGCACACTCCTGTAATCCCAGAGCTCTGGGAGGCTGAGGCAGTAAGGTCTCAAGTTCAAGCCCAGCCTGGGCAACATATTGAGGCCCTGTCTCAAAATTTAAAAATTAAAAGGGGAAAAAAGGCTTGGGATGTAGCTCAGTGTGAAAGCCCTCACTTCAATCCCTAGTACCACAGGATAGAAAGAAAGAACTTATAACCCAGGTGTCTATCACAGGAAAACGGTTTAACCATCAAATATTCATACAGTAACGTATTATGCAATAAAAAGATACAAACAACTGATTAACTTAAAAACATGGATTTATTTAATCTTAAAAAGGCTTTCACAAAAAGGTTTTACTACATATTTAAATTTGTATAAAATTCAAGAAAACTAAAATTAATCTGTGGTAAAAAAAAAATTTCCAGATGGTCGTGTCTGTAGTGGATGGTCATCTCCAGGAAGTAACTGGGGAAACTGACATGAGGGAACTTTCTGGCTTTTCAGATGTATATGTTGAGGGGATTTTTGTGTTATACACATGTATGTACTTCAAAACTTTTATAAGTTTCAAAACTCAGTGAATGAGTATTTCTGCATTTTATCAAATACAATTTTACTTTTTAAAAACTGTATAAATATTGAACTGTTACTGGTGAGTTGCATGGAGAAACGTTAAGGGATGCAGTATGCAGATTATCCAACCTACTTGGAAATGCATCAAAAAAATAGAGATTGATGATTGGAAACAGTAATATATACATGTGTGATAAACAAATGTAGTACACATGTATAATGTAGAATCCATGTGTTGATATATACTGTACAATTCTTTCCATCTCTAAATATTTCCCTAAAATCCTAGAAAAATATGGAAATGAACTTTGCTATGATATCTAAATCACCCTAAAACCATCTTAGAATAAACTACACTTACTTGTACTAGAAGATCAATTAATAGGTACTATATCATTTCACATCGGAAATTAGAATATCCTAATGTTCCAATGAATACATGTTGATTAATAAAATTTTGAAGATGTAAATATATCCTTTTTTAGTACAAAAATGTGTACAAGTTTTGAAGATTTACCATCTAAATAAGCTCATTTCAGCTGACATGAAGATGGGTAGACTTTATTGGAGTATAACCATAAAAATTACAGTATCTTATTTATACTTGAATTACTTTCTATAATCAGATATATATATCATTTGGATTTGAAGACTTTACTTTTTCAACTAATAATCCTATCTCTGAAAGCTGATCCTTCTTCATCCTGAAAAACAAGGACAAAATTAGACGTAAACAGTTACAAATATTTCTAAAAGCTTTACTATACTACGGAAGGACCAACCAGCAATTATGTACATAAATACATTGATAGTCATACAAATAGTCAAGTTTAACTTATGGTATAAAAATATTTGACTTTGTTTTAAGTCTGAAATACTCCTGAATATAGATCTCTCTTTTTCAGCATTAAAATAAGTTGCTGAGGGCTGGGGATTTAGCTCAGTGGTTCTGGTGCCTGCCTCGCAAGTGCAAGGTCCTGAGTTCAATCCCCGGTACCAGAAAAAAAAAAAGAAAAGAAAAGAAAAATAAGTTGCTGATAGATAATGTTATAAACATTTTTATGTCATTGACTGCTTTACTTCAGTTTTTGTAGCCTTTGATGAAGGGTTTTTTTTAAATCCTAACTTGCAGTAAAACATCCTTGCATATGAACGTTTTACCCATAAGATGTTAACCTGTTAGTTCAAATGCCTTTTAGACTACAGGGTGACATGACAGTAATAGAATTTAGAAATAAATTATTTTCCAGGAATATTTTTGCAATTATAAAATTCAGGCCATCAATACTTGCTTAGTCCTGCACATTTTCTTCAGAGTAGCCTACTTAAATATATAATTTGGTTATTGCAAGCTAAAATATAAGTTCTTCTTCTGATAAAATAATAAAAATCTTTCCTGATCAAAAAGTCCATTATCAAAAAGAATTAATGAACTGGTATTATCATTTGTCAGATTTTATAACATACATTTTATGTAAAAAAACTTTTGAATCCTTCAGAGTAACAAATCTAAATTGCTGTGCTTTATAATAAGAAATTATGTGATAAGATGCATTTTCTAAATGTAAATCAAACAAATCCAGGGCTGGGGATGTAGCTCAGTGGCACTACACCTGCCTTGCAAGCACAAGGTCCTGAGTTTGATCCCCAGTACAGAAAAAAAAATCCAAGCAAGGATATACTTGAAAAAAATTTACTTCTGGGTACAAATGGGTTGTTTGAGATTATGCATTAAGTCTTTTTAATGTTTCTGTTCTCCCTAATTCACTATTATAGCCTCATTTGTTTTCACTTTGCCATGCTTTTTAAGGGAAAAAGAGGTCATTTCACACCCTATATTTTAATATTTTTCAGTTGAAAATGAAGATGAGGCTGAGAGGATTCTTTTCTCCTATGGCTATGGTGCTAATGTTCCTACAACAGCCAAAAGGCGACTAAAGCAAAGGTAAAATCAATGTATAATTTATCTTACTTATCTACTCAAGCTACATGTAATTACATTGTTCATTTTGATAATGTGCTGAGTTGAATGACAATTTAGCGTTATTCTCAGTGTGCATAAATATTCCATTGCTCATAAAATAAAACAAAGATAATCTCGCATTTCATGTATATTTAAGTGTGTTTAGTGGTTGGTAAAACAGAAGTATGCGTTAGAATTTTTATAGAATTAGATTCAATGATAATGATGCCATTTCTATTTTATTTTCACATTAATTTTAAGTAAGAACAAATGGTTTGTAGCTGTAATTTTCATGTTGGAACTAATTTATTATGCTTCACTTTTCCCTTTAACTCTTGTTTTTTATTCACCTGCTTACAATTTTTGACACGTAGAGAGAATGTGTGTGTGATATAGAGGCAGCGTGTATATTATGATTGAAACTGTAAAAGCCTCTGTGAAGACCAGGAAAACTTTTGGGAGATCCACTATTGCTTAAGAGCTATTACTTAAAAGTACGCTAACCGAACATTGTACCTGTACTTACCATCTTTCTACTTGACCTGCCTGATTGTTTTTCATGTCTCCTCTTTTCTTAAATTCATTCTACTTTGCAAGAAACCTCTCGCTGCTGCATTTTCTATGGCATGTATCTGAATGTTTTTGCCAGACTTCCAAGGCCCTCCATAATGTGCCCCTGCTTAGCCATCTTTATTCGCCTCTCTACCCAGAATGAGAGTGAGCACTCTGCTTATAAAACGTCTTTTTTTCTGTACCAAATTGAAGCATTTCTCTTCTTAGCAATCATTTCCCAGGTAATTTCCCCAGCTAGCTGGGAAGTTCTTTAAGGTGAGCAGTTACATCTTGTTCTCCATCTCTACCTCAATCCAGAATACCTGGTAGAATTGTTTCTTCATCTGAGAAATTGAGGATTCAAAGTTGCTTGTCTATCTATTAGTTTTCTCTGATTATTTATTTATTTTGGGGTTTTGAGACAGGGTCTGACTATATAGTTCAGGCTGACCTGGAACTCACTAGGTACCCCAGGCTGGCCTCAGACTTGCAACAATCCTACCTCAGCCTCCTAGCTACTGATATTACAGGCATGTGCCACCATGCCAAGCTATGAATTAATTTAGACATATGGAAACATCACAAAACATTTAGAAAAGTAATCCATCTTACCTTTGATAATTTTGTGCAACCTTTAAAGTAATAGCTCAGAGAATAGAATGTCTTTGTGGCTATTTAAAGTGGAGTAGGATATAGAACACTTTATAGGAAGTAACAAAAGGATACTGAGAACTTAATGTCTCTTACTGGCTAAACTAAGAATTTGCCAAATTTAGATCAATGATAGATGAATAGTAAATATGTTGGTGACTAAAACAGTCCTCTCCAGTAAAAATTCAGGTATTTTTAACATGTATTATTTGAAAAATCCATTGTAGTCCTGTCCTTTCCTGGTCCCTCCAAAGGCCAAAATAAGTAACCTGGGATATTTTACAATTTTAAATGTATCTCTGTTTTTGAATCCAGTGTTACTTAGGGAAGAATAGAAGTATAGTTTCATTGGTAAAAAGACTACTTACCCATAGGAGTGATTGATAAAATACTGAAAATTGAAGGTTAAGGGGAGATTTCCATTTTCTTTTTTATTTTAACAGCTGAATCCTTCAAAAGAATCTTAGAAGAAAAAAAGAATTTTACTATTGTGAGTTTTCTTTCTTTACCCCCAAATCTGAGTTCTTCTGAAATTAAAAGCAATTATTTGTTACACCTTACTGATTTTTTAGAGAATTTTCTAAAACAGAAGTTGGTTTCTTTATATTTAAAGATTTAAAGAATCACAACTGATTCATATTCTAAATAATTTCAACTATCCAAATATTTCTAAAGATTTTATCACTGAGCTGTCTGTGTGCCTTGAACACGTGCCTAATGGGTGTGCTATTAATATCTTGTGCCAGCTGGTGCCAGGCATTCTTCTCGTGGTGAGCCAGAGGGTTATTTTGAGGAAGTGCTTCTCAGGTCACCTAAACTGAAGGAAGGGAAAGTAAGTCAGGATAGCCAAAGAGGACATTTATAAATTCCTATCCCCATTCATCTAACAACTTTTATTGAGTGCCTGCTGTATGCACAAAATTGACCAATGGTACAAAAGACCCCAGTTTAGGATCTGATGTATTTCTGAAGTTTGCAAAGTCCTCATTTGATTTTTTAGAAGATATTTGTAAAAAAGGGAACAGTTTTGTGCTGTCTTTAAATTTTTCTATTTGTTCTTTTTGAGACAGGATCTCACTGCGTACAGGAGTTCAGGCTGGCCTTGAATTCGCTATAGTCCACACTGGCATCAAACCCACAGTGTTCCTTCAGCCTAAGCCTCTTAAGTACTGGGGTAACAGGCATGCACTACCACGCCAGCCAAATTTAATTTATATAAGACAAAAGGCAATGTAGCCTTTAAGAAAATCTCTAAGGTGGGCTGGGGATGTAGCTCAGTGGCACCGTGCTTGCAAGGTCCTGAGTTTGATCCCCAGTACCAAAAACAAAACAAAATCTCTAGGTAGTCCTTCACATTTGAAATTAAAGGAATGGAAACCTAAAGTGAATTACAAATGACTCAGAAGAAGAAAATGAAGTATTTATATAATATGGTTTTCATTATACATCAGTCTATACCAGAATATATTAAAATTTTAAAGGAGCATATTTCCTGACTACTATGCAATATATTCTTGTTTTTACTAAATTTGAATGAAAACCTAATATATTTGAGAGAAAGAATTAGATATTTTAGGGTAAGATTTACTTGGAGGGAGATTTCTGATTATGAATATTTATCTTACAAAATTCAGAAAAGTACTGGCAATTCCACCATCCAAAGTAATCATTTGGAAATTTATAGATACCCATATCTGCTAACATATTTAGGGTATTGTATGTAATTCAGTAGTTAATCTTTTATCTTAGCATTTTATCCTGCACTTTTTCTTGTCAATGAATATTCTTCAGAATATCCAAAAACTTTAATTTTTAGGACTTCTGGTTTTCGTGGTACCAGGGATCTAACTCAGGATCTTGTGCTTGTGAGGCAGGTGCTATGCCACTGAGCTACATCCCCGACCCAGAACTTCTGTTTTTGAGTGCTGTATTGCTGTGAAATTGGACAGCCAATGAAAACTTTGATTAATTGCCTATGGCTACCCAAGAAATATTATGAAATTAAACTAAAATGAGATAATGGATGTGAAGTTCACTACACCATACCCGACAGACTAGATGTTCGATAAATGCTGATTGGTTACATCAGGTTAGATGTTCTTAAAATAAGTTGCACAGAAGAGAGACTAGGTTCCAAAACCTTTTACTAGCACAGTTTGACTGTTCATTAAAATACTTGTTTTGAAATTTTAATGAGACACCTTGAAATGTATGAAATATGGACATGAAACTAGGTTTGAGATTCACTTTCTTTTATATCAGTCAGTTTCTTAGGATGTAATATTACAATGCCAACCTCTGTAAAGTAGTAAAATAATCAACTTTTCTAGTTTTAAAAATAATGCCTCAATTACTCTTAAAAATGTCATAATTATAAAATAAGATAACTCACACTTTGAAGTTTCATAGAGGCATGAACAGTAGCTAATATTGTGTTAAACTCTGGTTCAGATCTGTGGAAAATAGGAAGAGCTTAAAGTAGATTAAAATAAAATGGCTCTTCTTTTTTTATTTTATTAATTTTATTGGTACATTTTAGGTATACAGTATAATGACATTCATCGTTGAAAATTTGTACCATTATGTAATCTATCTTGGTTCCTATTTTTTTCCCCATTTCCCTGCCTTCCCTTCAATCCCTCCACCCCTCCCTATTTACAAAGACTTTGTTTCCATTTTTTCATTTTCTCATATTAATTCCATTCCCTTCTTTCCTTTCCCCTACCTCTCCCACTTCCTCTTTCCCTTTGATCCTTTTCTTCGTATTTCACGTTATCTATTATTCTTTTAGATCCCTATTTACATTTTTAGTTTCTCATATTAGAGAAACTATTTGGTATTTACACACAAGTGTCCTATTTATTTCACTTAAGAGTATCGCCTCCTAAAATAAAAAAAAGAGTATCGCCTCCAGTGGTACCGCCACCTGCCTCGCAAGCGCAAGGTCCCAAGTTCAATCCCCGGTACCAAAAAAAAAAAAAAGTATCGCCTCAATGTGCATCCATTGAGCTATAAATGTCTCTAATTTCTCATTCTTTATGGCTGAGTAGTACTCAGTTTTATTTTTTAAAAACACACATTTTCTTTAGTCTCCAGGTGATGGGCAGTTGGGCTGTTTCCAAGTTTTAGCTATTACAAACTGTGCTGCTATGAACATAGGTGCACATATATCACTGTGGTATGATTCTTTTAATTCTTTTGAGAAGATACCCAGCAGGGGAATAGCTGGGTCAAATGGGACTCCAGTCCTAGTTCTTTGCGGTATCTCCATACTGATTTCCACAGTGCTTGCACCAGTCTACACTCCCACCAGCAGTGGAGCAGGGTTCCTTCCTCTTTCCCCACAGCCCTGCCAGCATTTGTTATTGGTTGATTTCAAGATAGCAGCCATTCTTTCTCATTCGTTTCTCAGCTGGAATCTCAGCGTTGTTTTCTTCTGCATCTCTTGAATGACCAGTGATGTTGAACATTTTTTAATATGTTTATTTGCAATTTCTACTTCTTTGTCTGAGAAATGTCTGTTCATTTCATATGCCCATAAAATGGGCTCTTCTTAACTAAACTTGAAAATCTGAAGTAAATATTTTTTTTTTTTTAGTAATGAGCTGTTTTGAAAATAGCAAGCAAGATTTTGTAGCTGTGGGTTTTGGTTGTGCTATCACTAAATGCGTGACCCCAGGCCCTAATGTGGTCTTAGTGTGGCTGCTACTTGTTTTAGCTGGTCTGGATGTTGAGAGACTTTTCTAAAAATTTTTAAACCTTTCAAATTGTAAAATTTA